ACAACATCTTCTGCGTAACAAGAAGAAAAAATCTGCAAGAAAATTGGCCAAATCACTGAATGTATCAAGAACAACCATCCGTCGAGTGATTAGAGATGATCTGGGTCTGAAATCGTATGTCAAGCGTGTTGCACCGAAGCTCACGGACACTCAAAAACAAAAAAGATTTTCGTTTGGAATTTGGGCAAGAAAGAATGTCAGAAAATCATTGGCAAGAAAACCTTGTTTTCGGATGAAAAACGATTCGATATTGACGGTGTATATAACCGTCAAAATGATAGAATATATGCACCGAATCGTGAACAAGCTGATGAAAATGGTGGCATCCACCGAAAAACAAAATTTCCTCAAGGTGTGATGGTTTGGTTAGGCGTATGTTATGACGGCGTGACACGCTCAGTTATCATTGAAAATGGTACGATAAATCATCAAAGGTATATTGATGAAATACTGCCAGTCGCACTAGAAGATGGTCAGAAGTTGATCGGAAATGAGTTTACATTTTAACAAGATGGGGCACCGGCGCACAAAGATCATCACACGCAAACATGGTGCAAGGATCATTTTTGAAATTTTTGGCCAAAATCGAGATGGCCACCAAATTCGCCCGATCTCAACCCTCTCGACTATCCATTTGGCACGAACTGTGAGAGCAGATGAACTGGGGCCAAATAACGAATAAAAAGACTTTAATTTATCAAATCCGTGCCGGTATGAAAAAGATCCGAACAGAAGTCGTGCGTCGCAGTGTGGACTGTTGGACTAATCGAGTTTATCGCATGGTGCAGAAAAGATGTGAATATGTTTTTTAAATAAAACGTATGGTTTGAAAGAGCAGAAAATTCTCTATCGATTGAGCATAAAATGAGTAATCGGAACCACGGGAAAGGGAATCAAAAAGCAAGAACAAAAGTGGCCGGTTTTATCTTATCCACCCGTTAGTAGCGTACGAGTTCTCGCCTCCTCAAGGCGAAGATTATTATCCATACGCCAGAGGACAGTAAATGTACATTCATCAGCTGTAAAAGGATTCTTTTCAAAAAATGAGAAGATATCCTCAAGTGCAGCATGTCAAATAAATGTATAAGATGAAAGTACTTGTAAAATACTGAAAATGGAAATTAATCGTAAGAATTATTGATAAGTATTCACTGTAGTGACTGGCTGAAATTCGAGATATAAAGGACATTTATGAGTTTCTGGCCACATCTCGAAGAATAGCTCAAGAATCTGTACTCTTCTCACTACTTTATTCTTTCAAAATCCAACCTACTATGATAACCCTTAAAGGTGTATAACGATCTCTTAGAAGTAAGTTTGAGAATACTGTGAAACGTCCTGAGGGATTTAAGAGATTTTTCTTATTTGTACGTACACGTTTAGAGTGAGCTCTTACACTGAATCTTTTTAGTTTTTAGCACGAATTAAATTTTAAATCTAAAATCGGAACTAACCGCGAGAATAATAAAGTCGCTAGATTGAAACATCTGGTGAAATGCTTCTGTAATATGACAACTCTTCTTGCACATAACCGACCTATAACAAAAACGAACTGAAGCGAAACCATCTAAATTTGAAGCATTGCGTGAAGAGAGATATGATGAAAACAAGGTTTTTTGTTTTCATAAATATACGTTATTTTATAAAACAATGAACGAGAGGCAGTGTGTTTATCATAGAACGGTTGCTTAGAAAGGTATACACGCGTATATTGATGTCATCATCACCCTTCTCATTCTTTGAAAAGGTGATGCTATCGTTAATACAAATATGTACTAGTCCCTCCAAAAACGAGAAGGCTAATAAATATTACTTAGACTAATTTGGCAAACAAAACGTTTTTAGAAGATATTAATTATTTATGCCCAAATGAGTTTAGCCATTCTTTATATTTTAATTAACTCAAATTTTAGGCCTATCACTACTGTCCCGTCATTCGAATTAGAGTTATGACGGATAAACCATTTAGAATTAACCTTCTTCCAAAATTATCTTTATCAAAAAGTGATCCAAGCACAAAATCCATTCACGATCAATACTTGGAACAACAACAACAACCAAATGGTAGTGAACAAGATTTACCATTTCCTGGTTTCGTCCGTAAAACCCTATTTTGCTTAGAACAGCGACAACAACCAAGATATACCTGTTTGAAAATACTCAGATGGCCATATCCTTTCTAACTGTTTTTTTATAGCTGAGAAGAACTTATCATTGTTTCACAGTATTCGTCCTTAATATATTTTTCTCTTTTTGCACATGGTTTGAACGTTTAACTGTATTTGTCATTCTGATAAATTGCATTACTCTCGCAATGAATAAACCATGTTTAACTGGACCTTGTTTCGCGACACGTCAATGTTTATATCCACAAATTATTGAATATTTAATACTGGTTTATTTTGTCGTTGAAATGATAATTAAAATGATTGCCATGGGTGTTATTGGTAAGTCAAAGAAGCTTTTAAAGATGACTCTGTGCATGATACATTTCACTTTTATATGTACTAGGAAAATCTTCATATTTGGGTGATGCATGGAATCGTATTGATTTTTTCATTGTAATTACTGGGTAACGTAAACATCACCGATTTTCATATAACCATCATGTTTCTGTATAGTATTTTGTTTAGTGTTCTGGAAGTTATCATACCTGGAAACGATTTACATATATCAGCATTAAGAATTGTAAGGGTTTTGAGACCGTTACGAGCAATTAACAATATACCGAGTATGTTGTCTTGAGGTTGAGATATCAGTTTTGCCGAATAATTATCCATTTATACTTCTATTTAGGTATGCGAATATTAGTCATGTTGTTATTAGATACGCTACCGATCATGGGCAATGTTCTGTTGCTATATTTCTTTATTTTTTTTGTATTCGGATGTATTGGTGTTGGACTTTGGCAAGGGCTTTTAAGAAATAGATGTTTCACCGTTCTAAACACAACACTATTCGATTCAGCATTGTATGTGTTCGGTAATACAGTATGACACTAAACTAAATATGCTTTATTTGTCATTTTAGTGTTGACTATCGGACAAATTCTTATTATTCTCCACCATCTGGTGAAAGTTTTTTATGTTCAAACATCAAGTCAAAAGGGATGACAAAATGTTCCGATATTCCAAAATTAACGCAAAACAATATGACTTGTACAGCGCGATTCAATTTTACAGTTTATTCTCTCAGTGATCAGTGTGTAAACTGGAATCAATATTATCGTCTATGTAAACCATCCGACACCAATCCTTACAATGGAGGAATTAGTTTCGATAATGTTTTATACGCATTCATCACAATATTTCAGGTACATTCATCTTTGAAGCTCTTACATTAAACTTTGAATAAAATATTCGATTTTTAGTGCAATCTATTGATTTCTGAGAAAAACATAAATGCATACTTTTGAGTACTTATTGTTGAATCTTCAGTAGTGTTTGTAACCATGAAACAAACATCTTTCTAAGAAAGAATCAGAAAGGATTAGATATCTTCATTTCAGATCTTCTTTTTGATTAAAGAGAAAAACAACGACTTTTTTCCAATTGTATACATATTTAGATTGTGTCATTAGAAGGTTGGGTAGATGTGATGTATTATATACAAGATGTGTCATCATTTTGGGTTTGGATCTATTTTGTTGTATTAGTGGTGGTAAATAGTATAGATTATGTTATCAACATCGAGTTTTGAATAATCTTTTTATGTTCTTACTTTAGATAGGATCATATTTCATGATGAATTTATGCGTGGCTGTTATTTCAAGTCAATTTTCTTCTACGAAAAAGCGAGAAACAGAAAAAATGGTTAGCGAAAGAAGTCGGTTTCAGTCATCATCCGAAAACGAAGAAATAATGAATGAAAATGAAAGTTGTTGGACAAATATGATAAACTATTTTCAACAAACATATACGCAATGGATAAGCCAATGGTGTCATCGAAATGGCAAAAGCGTAAGAAATTTTAACTTGGATGTACTGACTTGAAATTTACTTCGATAATAGCTACTCTAATAGCTTTCGTGAAAATATTAATTTTAGAAGTTTAAACAACTGTTTTGTTTAGAAAACGCCCGACAGACGACCGTCTGTTCCTAGAATTCAAATAAACAGCGATGATAATAATGATGATAATCTATCCTATTATTCTGCATTCGAACATGATTTATCACCCGATGTGCCTGACTTAATTAAAGATGTTCGATCATCGACTCAAAAAATTCAATCATTTGTTAGTTCACAAAACTCAGTGCGTAAGAAAAATGCGAATGAGAAAGCAATAGCTAACACGAAAAATATGCGGCCCGGACGATATAAATTATTTAATCTAAAACTAAATCGATTTATTGAAACAAACTTTTTTATTGGTGCAATTTTTGTATGCATTTGTTTGAACACATTATGTTTAAGTATCGAATATCATGGACAACCTCATTTAATGACGCAAATTTTAGAATACATTAATTTTGGTTTTGCCGTTATATTTCTTCTTGAAATGATATTAAAATTAATTGCTATGGGTATGTTTCAATATATTAAAGATCCAGCCAATATTTTCGATGGTCTTATTGCAATAATAAGGTATCGTTCATTATGTCAGAATAAAAACTATGTAAAGATTTATAATCTTATTCGTTTTAAATGATAAAATTAATATAATTAAATTATTATTCTAGTTTAACGGAGATTTATCAAAGTAATATATCTGCATTACGTGCATTTCGTATGTTGAGAATATTTCGTTTGATAAGTTTTCTACCAGGAATAAAACGTCAAATAGCAATAATGGTTAAAACAATAAATGATGTGGCAGTTTTTTTCTTATTTTTGATGCTTTTCATATTTATGTTTGGGTGAGTAAACAACAACAACAGAGCAATATTAGATATTAGTATAATAATATTTGAATTTAGAGTATTAGGAAGTCATTTATTTGGTGGACATTTTTCAGCAGTATCTGGTTACAGTGTTGATAATCGTACACATATCGAGATAAAATGTCACTGTTGTCAATGCAAAGAGTTTGAATTCTATCGAAATCAGAGTAATATAATTAATGTTCGATGTCAAACACCACGTACAAACTTCGACACATTTTTTAATTCATTATTAGCTGTTTATCAGGTAAGAATACAGTTCTGTGCAGAATTATAGAAACGAGTTGTTTTTAATGTGTTTGGTTTGTCGTAACAAGAACGAGTGCGAGAAATGATTTCAACAGCTAGAAGAGTTTTCAATTAGAAGTAAGTGTTTTATGCAAGTTTC